GATGAATGTTGTTGTTGCGATGTTACGGCAACGGTTGTGGTCGAAGTTGATGAAGTTACTAGTGGAGGGGAATTGAAAACAAGAAATATTAGGACCAGTAACAGGGTATTTCTGGAAAACTTCAGTGATGCAAATGACGATGATAAGAGCAACATCGATCGTGGTTGGGTTATCGCTTCAGAAGACATCTTGATTATTCGTGAATTCCGTTGCAGATAGAATTCAATTGGGCGAAAATAAGATTTCGGCGAAGGAACAACTTGCAAGTTTGCAAGTAACTTCTTCGATTAATCGGTTGAAAAATTTTGTCTTTGAGCAGCGACAACGCTATTTGTGTAAAAACGAGAAGGTGGTTGCCTTAAAGGCTGAAGAATGCAGAATATTTTTTGTTGGTTTAGTATTTCAATGTGAGAATTTTGCTAAAAATGCGTTTTTGTGTGATCAGAATGGCATGCGAAAAGTTGATTTGTGGAAATTTGTGAGAAATAAAGCAAAATATCAAATGAGAATGCGGTGAAACACTCATTTCTTGTTTCGTTGTTAAGTCATTATCGTTGTTTTTTGTTTGGAAATTCAACAGGCTATTGAAATACTCGTTTTTCAAACTAATTGCTTGGAGAATTTAGCTGCGAACGAAAACAGCGATCAATCAAAGTTGTTTTCTTTAATGATCGTCAGTTTCAAATTCATCCTTTCCTCGTGTTCATGAAAATGACTCTCAGAGAAAACACATAGGAACGATCCATAAGGGCATTCCTGCAGGAAACAAACTAACCCATTTTTCAGTCGAATCAAGCTTCGAATGAAAAATGTGTTAGCGATTCCCTTATTCAGATGACTTTTGTACAACAACTCAATCAAATGAACAAATTTATTCACACAAGCATGGTACTATCAGTTTCAGTCATGAAGTTTCACTCTTATCTGCTAACGGTGAAACAGGACACGAAGCGTTTCACATTCGTGATCGTTTATTTAATGTTGCTTCGAAGCTTTGGAAGAAAAAAATAGAAAATACATCGTGAAAACATTGTAGGGAATGTTTTCAGTTAATTGATCGCTCGCTCATTATACGGTTTGCCGGTGTCCGGGTCACAATTTTTGACCATTGGTGGACAGTGATGGTAGAGTTGGTGGAAATTATCGCATTTATTGTCCTCAGATAGTGATTGACGCTTATACCGTTCCCACACTGAATCGTTCTCGACTGGTACATCATCACAGACCGGTGCTGGATCAACACGATGCACACCGCTGTGTTGAATCCCGTTTACAGGAGGTGATTTCGCATAATCGTTACACAGTGCGGACTGACCACGTAGAACGGCCACATCACTGCAGTAAAACAAATTGAATGCAAATCATTTTCAACTCGCTGAGTATTTGGACTTTCAATTGAGAAAAAGTATTGTAATTATGGCCAAAGAATGATTCTTGCATTAATTCAAGGCCGATGAGCACATACACCAAAACGTCAAAATAATGAATTTCGTGAATATCGATAACAGCTTGAACTTGATTGTTTTCATTTGTATTTATCGCTTATTATGAGTCAACAAATGCGACATGCAGTTGGTTTGGAGTTCGGCTTTTCACTGCACTATTGGTTAGGAAACGATGAGCGCAAACATTATGATGAATTTACGCGATTATTTGCATGACTGCTCGTGTAGTGCAAAGAAAGTACCCGACGTTGTATGCCTCATTTGGCAACAACAACCCAACACATGCGGCACGAGTGAAAACATGAATGAAATAAGAAAATAAGATTTAAAAGTTTCCAGTGCAGTTCCGATCGGTGCAGTCTTCCTCAAAACGATAAGAAGACTGTAACGGAAACAATCGATCTTCATACGTAA